CTTTCCATGGCTTTTTCTAATATTTTTGATAAAGTAGGCAAAATACTTATTGGACGTAAATCTTTAAAACTTACTGGGCTTTGCTTTTTTGGCAGAACTTTTATAACTGCTCTCCTCCACATTGCAGGATAGACATTTTCAGTAATACAGAAATTTAGTATATGTGTAATATAGGGAACTATATGAGGGCAGCAAATTTTAATCAGTTTTATATTTAATCCATCACACCCCTTGGCATTAGTTTTGATATCACAGATCGTCTTAAAAACGAAAAGGTCATTAACTTCTCTAAAATTAAAATTAGAATCAATAATTATATTATTTTTGTAAAAATTTCTGACCTCTTCAGGTGGTTCGCTTATTGGAATAGATTCAATAAAATAACGATTAATTTCATTTGGTTTCATTAGGTCTTCAGGTATATTTTGGTTTTTACTTGGAATAAACTTATTTGTTTTTAAAGTTCGCCACATGTCTGTAGAAGAACTATTATTAAATTGATGTAAAAAATAAGCCCTTTTTTCCCTTTTAATAGACTGACTAGTGAAATTGCGTAGTTCTCTGTAAGCCTGTAAATGAACATTAGATTTAGTTCGCCTATACTTTCTTAGCGCCTTATCTCTTTCCGAAATCATTAATTTTATCGGATAAGTTAACCATGGAGCTTTACATTTGGTCACCCTCGATGTTGTAATAGGAGCATGTCTGTCAAATAGATCATTTAAGCAGTTAATTAAATATGAAACTTTCTCGTCAACTGTTTCTTGATCATAAATTCTGAAAAAGGGAGTATTGAAAAGATCACGCTGAAAAATATATTCGTCGAAATGTTTAAAATTTCTATAAGTTACCATTTTAGACGCGAACTGCTCAGTACTTACTCTAATTTTAAAAAAAACTAAAGAGTGATCAGAAATTGCATCATGTATTATTCCCTTTTCAACAGGAGCTCCTTCTTGAACTATCACGTAATCAAGAAGAGTAGCTGATGTTGCTGTAATTCTTGTAGGCTCGTCTATTAATTGACAAAGATTAAGCGTTTCTAAAAGTGAATAAAATCTTGATACAGTTATGTTACTAAAATTCAACAAATTTAAATTAAAATTTGTTGTAATAGCGGCAATAGAAATACACATTCTGTGAAAATTCCAACTTTCTACTTATTATGGATCATGAGATACAGCCCGCTGACAGAAGGACGGACAGCGGAGGCTTAGTAATAGGATTCCGTTGGTTACCCTTCGAGTACGGAACCCTAAAAAGGCATATTAAAATTCGGTAAACTTAAAAAAAGGAGACTACCGAGTTATACCACGCTCATCTGACTTAATCTGGCAGCGTAAAAGGTTGCTTCTGTTTCACCACTGAATTGTACCACAAAATGGAAATCAGCTAGTTGTAAAATATATGATAATTATATTTAAAAAAAAAAAATAATCACTTATTTTCCTAACCTGGAGACATTACGGGTTGCATCGCAAAAAATTAAACATAAATTGAAAAAATAAAAAACTCTTTTATTTATATTTTTGTATTCAAGAAGGAGGAGGACATGTTGAATATTTACTAAATTAAATAGTTTATAAAATATGTATAATAATTATTACCAAATGTTTAGTTTTAATTGTTAATTTTTTGTTAATTGTTTAATTGAAAAAATAATTTTTTTATTTACTATTAAATTTAATAAATACATTTCCCAACTAACGTGTATTTTTATCAGTGGCATGGTGAACCCATGAGGCACACCATTTTTATGGCACCAATCCAATATTATAAATACCTTTTTTACAAAAATATAAATAAAAGAGGTAGTTTTTGCAGGAGCGGCTCAAGCACAGCCCTGGGCCCACCACTGATTTTTATATGCGTTTTTTGTACAATTACTCCTGACCTACTCTTAGTTTTGTTGATATGTTAAGTCCAGGACGCTCGTTAACTAAGAAAGATACAAAGTTCATTTCGCTATAAAAAAAATTTAAAAATGCATAGTTCTTTTTGATTATAGGATCGATAAAGCAAGTTTCTTTATGTCAAAAAAAATACGGGGGGGTTAAAAGGTACCCAACCCCCCAACTTTTTTTAAAGGGGTCGTTTTAATTTTTTTTCTCCTTTGAATATTGGACCTTCAAATCTACAGCGCTGGAAAAAATTTCGAAGAAAAAATCGCAACAGCAAACTTTTTACAAAAAAAACATTTTTCTGAATTTTAGTTTAACACCCTGTATCTTTGTTGGAAACCAGTTTTTGATATAGGTAAATATAGCCAAATCCACTTATTTTTTGGTAATCTATCTGAGGATGAATTTATGACATACCTTTTTGAAACACCCTGTATAATGATTTATTATTTTAATTCTTTATAATAATAATTTTTAACAATGTTTAACTTTATGAATAACTAAAACTAATTTCAAAAAGGAAAAACTTGTATTTCGTGCAAAACTTTTTTATTAATCAATGCAAAGCGCTTTCGGCTTATTTGCCATCATCAGTGCTCATTGTCCACAACGTATCCAACAAGTTCCTGGTCATCCTCACTCCCAAAATTATAAATTTCGGGATGTTTACAACTTGCTAAATCATAATTTTATTAATATTAATATTAATATTAATAAAATTATGATTTAGCAAGTTGTAAACATCCCGAAATTTATAATTTTGGGAGTGAGGATGACCAGGAACTTGTTGGATACGTTGTGGACAATGAGCACTGATGATGGCAAATAAGCCGAAAGCGCTTTGCATTGATTAATAAAAAAGTTTTGCACGAAATACAAGTTTTTCCTTTTTGAATCTAAACTACGTGCACACAGCTGTCAACCTTTTTTGGTTTTTTTAAAACTAATTATTTTGCAACTTTCATGAATAAATTTTTATTAAAAATGTTTCGTATTATTAATTTTAAAACTTTATAACTAATTTCTAAAAAAAATGTAGTACTTCTGTACCCCTTATTTTTTTTACATTATTATTTTACGGTTCTTCCAGAATATAAAATTCAAATCGCACTGGTGTCTGCCTAGTTCTTCTAACCCTTACTGTACTCTGTGCATCTGTGTACACCTCCTTTTGGTGTTGTTGATCTTGTTGTTGTAGTTCCTTCGGGCTTGTTTCTTCTGTTGACCTAAAAAAAAATTGTGTTTTAGATAGCTCATCAACGTCTGAATTTAGAGATAAATAAGATTCATCTGATTCACTATTGTTCAAGTCTTGGTTAGATACCAAGTGGTCCCAGGTAACATTGTCATTTTCTACACTAGTTTCTTGTTCATTCTCGTTTAAAGAGTTTTTATCACTACTGTCATTATTATCCTCGTTTATAATTTCGTCCCAATTATACGCAATTTTTCATGCTATCACTTGTTTTTCTTCTATTTGAGCATGTCTTTTAACTTGGATTTTTATATCTGAGTCATACTTCTCTTCTCTGGTAGTTATCTGGTTTAAATGTCTTTTCCGTATTGTTTTACCTTCTAAGAGTTCACAGAAGTAAGTGGATCTCCCTATTTTCTTATATATTTTAGCAGGTGCCCAAGCCTTTACATTCACTTTTCGAAAATCTCTCACCATTACCTTTTCATCAACTTTAAATTTTCTACATTTTCCCTTGCTATAATGCTTTTTGTTTTATTTGGGAGTTTTTAATTTTAATTGTTACTCTCGTTGGAACCTTATTTTCGTTATTTTTCAACAAATCGAATCGTCTCCTTAATGATCTTCCAAACATTACTTTCGCTGGAGTTTCTTTCGTTGTTTCATGAACTGTATTTCTAAAGGTTACTAAAAATCTCGAGAATAAGGTCGATAATGGTTCATTATAATTGTCTTCATCTGCTAATGCTGCATTCATTTTCTTTTTAAAAACTTTATCTGCTATTTCTGCTTGTCCGTTTGATTGTGGATGTCCTACTGGTGTGGTAACACCGTTCTTTGCTAGAAATTTTGATATTCGTTGTGATACAAATTGAAGACCGTTGTCTGTTACTAGAACTTGAGGAAAACCCATTCTAGCAAAAGAATCTCTAAATTTTTCTTCTGTTACTTCAGCAGACATGTTCCTTACTTCGTATACTTCTGGAAACTTACTATAAGAATCTATTATTATAAGAAACATGGTACCTTGTATTGGGCCAAGATAATCAGCATGAACTCTGTTCCATACTTTGGTCTCCGGTTCCCATTATGTTAATTCACTCTCTTCAGGACTTGATCTTTGCAGTAAACATGGTTGACAACTTCATATCAACTTCTCAATGTCCTGGTCGATATTTGGCCACCATAGATAACTTCTTGCTAAAGATTTTGTTCTTGCCATTCCCAAATGAGATGTATGCAACTCATTTAACAATGTTTTTCTTAAACTATAAGGAATTTCTAGTTTTCGTGACGTCGTGACCAAACCGGCTGCGCAGTTTACTATGGTATCTTTGGACCCACCTTGAACTTTGGGCACGCCACGCATTCGAATTATTTTTAATTCAATTTTTCAAATTTATTATCCACTGCTCGTTGCCATTGTTGCATTTGTGGATTCGGGAAGCTTGGGAAGGAATAGCAAACACTAACACTGGGATCACAGAGTTTATTATTCTAATATCACAGCAGTTTGTACATTACTTTACTTTTACTACGCGTGACATGTTTACAGTTCGAGAGCTGACACAAGAGAGAGTCGTTGAGGTTTGTACCTCGTTTAGGAGAAATGAGTGCATGCGCAGTGATACCAACTATGTTTTTGCTTATATGTTACACCAAAGGTATTTTTGTTAGACATTTTTGCTGTAAATTGCCAGTGAATCTTTTATGAACTGTTTACTTTTCCCTGCTATATTAAAGAGTATACATAGGTTAGTTATATATTTTGATGTTAATTGATATAAATAAAAACAAAAAGAAACACGTACATTCCAAGAAAAACAAAACAAAATATACATAGTATGTTGCTTCAAAAGCAAAACCTGCTAATTGCTTTTTATTAAAACTTTTTATTTTTTCAGTGGAGATCGTAGAGCCCTTGTCCATTGCGCCAGTACAGATGGATATTCTTCTTTTGACTTTAAAGCTGACGAGATTCCATTAAAAATTGACATTAACAACGTGGCAAAAAAATTAGTAGCTTTTGGTGCTGGAAAAATTCCATACGTGGGAGAAGGATTATCTGCATTGATCAACGTGTTCTGGCCAGACACTAAGCGGTCAGCTTGGGACGAGGTTAAGGATCAAGTAATAAATTTAGTGGACAATAAAGTGAAGGAAGCAATTCAAGGAATACTTGGAGGTGATTTGAGGTGAGAAAATTAATTATGGAATGATTTTTTAGATAACTTCAGGTTTAAGGAAAATGAAAAGGTTAATACATATACAGGGTGATATATCCTATAAGCGACACCCCTGGTCTCCTTTTATTTAACAATAAAAACACGGTGACAGTAACTCATAAAACAAATGTTTTTCCTTCTTTAATAATGTTAGCTACTTAAAATATTTTCACTCGAACATTCAATTTAAAAATACTTTCCTGAACAGAGAGAAGACATTAACAGAGTGACAATTCTAATACAAATTTCTGGAAGCATGTTCCATGCGCGTTGACTGTGGCGACGCGCTTGGCAACGAGCACGAACTAGACATTTACCGGTAATGCAGATTTTCTTTAAATTTAGGCGGTAGCATTAAAGAACTTGGCAATAAAAATTTGTAACTTTGTAAACAAACTCGATATTTTTTGCAAAATTGCGAAAAATATCGATTTAGGTACAATGTTACAAACTCATTTACTACAAATTTATATTTTGTAAAGGTAATGTCATTAAACAGAAGGTATTAAGTAAATGTACATAAAGAACACATTTTTTATTGCAGCAGTGACAGAAAAAATCTAAAAAATGATCATTAAAATCACTCACAAAATACTGAAATAAAAAGAAAAATTCTATGGTTTGACAAAATAGTAAAAAAATCACTTACGCCCATATGCACCGTTTTAAAATATAATCCAGATTTGCAAATCTCGTTTAAATGGCTAGTGAATATTTTCTATGCACCGGCTACGGATTAGATAATCGAGTTTATTAATCTGACAACACTGAAATTTTATAAATTTCACAAAAAAGAGAAGAAGAAAACGTCAGATTTGAGTAGGAAAAATGTTTGTCAGAGGATAAAAGGCCGATGAAAATAGAAGCCCTATTTTATAAATGTACCAAAACCGTAAACACACCGTAAAACGCATACCGAAAATGTCAAATTATTTTATAAAAATTCTGCTGTATTTCAAGCTTTTTTATGCAAAACGATATACCTATTTGAATACTTTATTCCCTATACTGTGTGCATGTTCAAAACTAGATATGACATTATCAGTATTTGAAAGTGGACAAAATCAAATAAATATATGTACCTATTGCTTACTTTTTTTTTATATTTTTCAACGTATCTGGATTTGCCATCTAACTACAGAATTATGCTGTAACGTTAGAATATAAAAACCTCTTAAAAATGACAAAGTTGTCCATCGTATAAAAATATTCACTTCTCTAGTAATTTTGTCGAGAATCTTCATCATCTTCCAAGAAAAGCTGGTATTCTATTTCCGATTTTTATTAAAATTCAAATAAAAGAAACACAAATAGAAAGTTCCAAATATACTGACAAAACATTTGACGTAAGAAAATCTCGATTAGATAGTTTGATCCACCGATGTCGACGGATTAGAATAAAATCGGATTAAGAATGATGTTTGTTACGGTGCATCGCTAAAAATGGTACTAAACGCGATTAAACCCTTAATAATCCGGATTAAACGTGTACGGTGCATACGGGCGTTTAGTCACTCACAGTAATTTAAAAAACCATTGCTTTCACTTTATTTGTCAAGAATATTTTGTCACATAATTTTAAATAAACTTGGATATTTTAGTACCATTTAATATTCATAAAATATAAGGAAGTATTTCAAGCTTTAAAAAAGAAAACATTCAGAAAACGCCAAAAGAGAATATATGAATATGAGACTGCTATTTAAAACTATGATAACTTTAATATTATAATATTCATCTCTTTACGTTGTACCTAAAAAGTAACTCCAATTTTTAGTCGCCAGCACATAAAATTGCCGTAGTATCCTGACCTGCAGTGGATTCTCATCTTTCAATACAGCATATTATGTTGAGACACCTATCTTCATCGACAGACTGCCATTCTTATGTAAGGTCTTTATCTATTCAACACGTAACCTGTTAAGTTCGTACATATAAGAAACCATGTTCTGATCTATTCATTCTGAATTCCTTTTATCATGGCATCCCCTCTTGTCTTGGGTTTGGACATGTTTAAACTGAAATAAATACAGAAATTGGTTAGGCCACGTTGCATGGACTGATATATAGATAATAAGGATTTACACAAAGTGTGAACTTCTAAGTATAACAAAAAACTACTTTATTAAAAATTTGTAGTAGAAATATATTTATTTCCTACCTTAATATATTCAATTCATGTAGTAAACACGATTAAATAAATTTCCAGTATTTTATTTAGTTATAGGTTATGTTAATTGTTGAAATTATGGAACAAGGTACAAACAAATAGCATTTATAAGACATTACACTGATTACGCTATTGGTTGAAATGTGACATGAACGATTAAAATATGTTAATGACCAATAATAAGTGACTGTCATAGTTTATGGTCGTTGAGTAAGAACTACCTTCACGTAATTGTCACTATTGTCAGTCGTTTATAGTTCAATGTTGAACCAACATGCGCGATGCGCAACGAGTGCCAAAAATCGGTCCAAAACGCGTAGACAAGTTTTGTATATGATTGAAACCATCTGCTATGTCTTATCTCTGTTCCTGAATAAAACCCTATTACAATTTTTAAATGTTGGTGACTCATCGAAGGATTATGGTCGGCCGGAAACAATGTATTTCTTGAATTACCCATAATCCTCCTATCGGCGTAACGATGATTCGCAATAAAATGCTAATATTGAATAAGCTTTAATTGACACGATTTTATTGATTTACGTTAAATATTGTTTAATCTACTTTGTACGAAATATCTGAGAAAGTTGACAAGAAATGGGAATTTATTGTTATTAATTAAAAAAAAAAATATTCATAAAAAGTTCTGCAATAATAAATCAATAATGAAGAATTAGATTTGTATAATAATTAGTACAGGGAAAATAAAAAGTGCATTTAAAGTTAACTACAGAACAAAATGTAATTTAAAATATTGAGAGGAATTAAAAAGTATGGCCTAATAATCAATAAGGTAAAAAAATACTTAATTAATTTAGCAACTGTAAGAATATTTATTACATAAGATAAATCAAAAATTAAATTGAAATTAAATATATTTACATGTATCACATATAAATCAGTAATCAAAAATAAAATAAAAAATGTTGATTTATGTTAAAGAGTCCTTAGAATTGAAATCGTCTGAGACATTGAATTCTTTCATCACGTTTTCGATTACTGTTAAGTTTGCTTGTTGATGGACGAGCCGACGAGCCGCCACTGTTTCTATGTTACTATAGATATAAGTTTAATGAAATGTGAATTATGAATTAATGTCAATTCAAGATACATATTTGTCACCCATTATATAAAATAAACGGTTTCCTCTGAATTCACTTCTTTAAAAGTAGCCAGCGCCCTTCACGCGCAACCAAGTGGTCCTTCGAGGTGTGAGCATTAAAACAGGCGGAAAAATCCAGGAGTGAATGGCATAGATAGAAGAGGCGAAGCACCATGGTGACTGAGTGAGATTATTTAAAGAAAATTCATACAATATTCGATTTGTACTTAAAATGCGTTAAAGGTCCATTCATGCGTTTTGCATAAACATTGATAGGGCTTTATACAGTTAAAATATAGAAATCATTATTTCTACATTCATACGGTTTTCAAATTCTTAATTTATAGAATTATACGGTTTAATATTATAGTCTGCTAATATTTGCAGTTCATACGGTATTCAGTCATTATGGCACTAGAAAATTTAATTAAAAGGCGTACAAAAATAATAGATAACTTAAATCAGTTCGAAAATTTCATTGAAATAACAGAAACGGAATTAATATATGTTGAATCGTTTGATAACGATAAAAAATACTTAATAAAGTTTGAAGTTGAAACGCGTTTGTCAACTTATGACAGTAATTTTGAAAAATTTTTAGACATTCAAGATCAAATAGATGATTTTGTAATAGTAACTGATAAAAATTTAGTGGAAGAACAAAAAATTATTAAAAACAGTAAAGAAGGAAAGTATTATAAAACAGTTGCTAAGGCAAAATTAATTTTTTCAAAATTAAAAATAGAGGAAGAAAATTCTAATAAAACGGTTAAACTAAATGACAATGAGGTACAATTACCTTCTATCCCTTTGCCTCAGTTCGATGGCACATACAGTCAGTGGATGGAATTCCGAGATAAATATAAATCTCTTATCCATATTAATTCAAAAATCAGTAAAATACAGAAGTATCATTATTTGAGACAGTCTCTATCCGGTAAGGCTTTGCAATGTATAAAAAGCATTGAATTCGGTGAAAACTATTATGATAGTGCATGGGTCACAATTTGTGATAAATTCGATAATAGCGATAAACTTATACAAAATCATATAAAGGCAATTTGCGAGTACGAACAAATAGAAAGATCTACTAGTACAAAAATAGGAGATTTTTTAGATACGATAACAAACAATTTAGAATGTTTGAGACAGTTAGGTGAATCGGTAGATAATTGGAATTCTCTTTTGATCTATATTTGTTATAAGAAATTAGATAATTTTTCCCAAAAAGAATGGAAAAAATATAAAAAAAGCTTACCAAACAAAGTCGTAGTTAACAATTTCCTTGACTTTCTTAGAAATAGGACAGAGTTGCTAGAGGACGTAGAGGATGATTTTTCAAAGGATAAAAAATTTAAAAATCGCGATACCCATACTCGAGACTCACGTAGGGAAACTGAGAAAGGGTTATATACTAAAAACCAACAAATAAAAGGAAACTGTATCTTGTGTAAGCAAAGCCATTTATTGTGTTACTGCCCAGATTTGTTATGTTTGAATGTTAAAGATCGATTTCAAAAGGTTAAGAAATTAAATTTGTGTACAAATTGCCTGCGCTCTAATCATACCCCAAATGAATGTAGATTAGGAGGATGCAGAGTTTGCCAAGAAAAACATAACACAGTTCTTCACTGTGATCAAACTTCCAGAGGCATGTTAGCTAAAAATAATCCAAAAGAAGAAATAAACACAAATTTGATTTCGTCAACAGACCCAAAGTCAAATCCTTCAACCTCTTCATCAATTTGTTGTGCAGCAACAGATTCTAATTTAATTAAAACGAATGCGATTTTGTCTACAGCACTTGTACAAATACAAGGCACAAATTGTACTGCTCGTGCTCTACTGGATTGTGGCTCACAATCTAGTTTCATTTCAAAATATTTTTTTAATATGTTGAATTTTCCTAAAATCAAAACAAATCTGGCAGTATCTGGTTTAAATAAATCTATATCATATTCAAACTACAAATGTAATTTAAAACTAAAATCCGTGTATAGTGATTTCGAATTTGAAATTTCTTGCTTCATAATAGATAATATTACAGGGTATTTACCTGAATCTAAAATAAACAAACAGATATTAAATATTCCAATAAACATTGAATTAGCTGATTCTAATTTTGATAAACCATCAAAAATTGATCTTTTAATCGGCGCGGACAAGTTTTGGGATTTAATAATATGCGAACAAATAAACCTAGGTAAAAATTTTCCAATTCTACAAAACACAAAATTAGGTTGGATAATTGGTGGATCTTTAAGTATTTCAGATAACAACCTTTGCTTTTTGAACAGAAACACAGATATTAACGATTTGTTGTTAAAATTCTGGGAAGTTGAAGAAGCGCCACATCCAAAACCTAATCCCAAACCAAATTCAATGGAAGAGGAATTATGCGAAGAACATTTTCAAAAAACAGTAAAGCGTAATGAGAAAGGTCAATTTATTGTGACCGTTCCCCTAAAAGAAAATATCAGTGTTTTGGGCGATTCTAAAACATTGGCTATAAAACGATTTTTACAATTAGAAGAAAGATTACAATTAAATATGAAGTTACGTGAACTTTATTGTAATTTTTTAAAGGAATACGAAGATCTGCAGCATATGTCGTTAGACAAAGATGAAGCTGAAGCTGTTCAATACTTCATGCCTCATCACGGTGTTTTAAGAGAGGAAAGCATCACTACAAAACTTCGTGTTGTGTTTAATGCGTCAGCCCCAACTACTACAGGGTTTTCATTCAATTCATTACAAATGACAGGGCCAACGATCCAGGATGATATTGTAAGCATTTTACTTAGATTTCGAATGCATAGCATAGTAATTTCAAGTGATATAAAAATGATGTACAGATGTGTGCTTGTAAATCCCGATCAAAGATGCTTACAAAAGATCGTATGGAGACAAAGTCCTCAAGAAGAGTTAAAGTCCTTCAAATTAAATACAGTGACATATGGCACTACTGCGGCTTCATTTCTAGCCATACGTAGCCTTTATGAATTAGGCAATGAATGCGAGCAAACCCATCCTGAAATATCGAGAATAATAAAACATGACATGTATGTTGATGATCTTCTAACGGGTACAGATTCTTCGGAAAATGCATCGCATATATGTCAAAATATATACAAAATTTTAAACGATGCTGGATTTGAACTCCGAAAATGGAGATCCAATTTTCCTCAAATTCTAGACGTGCCTAATAAGCAAGATATCCTAGAATTTCATCCTGATAAAAATGTGGTGTCACTAAAAGAGCCATTTCCAGAATATGTCCACTGCCTGTATTTTCAATTGAAAGTTAAAGACTTTCAAGGCCGGGAGTATGTTAAGTTTGCTTGTTGATGGACGAGCCGACGAGCCGCCACTGTTTCTATGTTACTATAGATATAAGTTTAATGAAATGTGAATTATGAATTAATGTCAATTCAAGATACATATTTGTCACCATTATATAAAATAAACGGTTTCCTCTGAATTCACTTCTTTAAAAGTAACCAGCGCCCTTCACGCGCAACCAATTACATTGTCCACCATCCCGTCCAATCTCCATATTTTGTCTTCTTCCTTGATGACGTGGGTAACGGCATTTGTCAAATCTTCTTTTCGTATTCTTGTCATTCCGATTTCCAGTAAATGTTGGACGTAGCTAATTTTAAATTTCACGTTTTCACGAGCTACGTAACCCTTCACTTGAGCCCAAATAAGTTCTATCGGATTTAATTCGCAACGGTACCGAGCAAGAGCAAGATCCAATGTATCTACAACATGCTGACGATATCTGTCTCGATGCTCTTTAATTATGGTTATAACCTCCCCTTTAACCATGTCCTCAAAAAATGGAATTACCTTTAGTCGCAACCAACCTTGCATCACCGCTTTTTTAGTGACCATAGTGGGTAAACGTTCCACTATTTCAGTAGATTTAAAAAAAGTATTTGATTAGAAAAAGTTAGGTCAAAGCCTTATAATTATATAATGGGATATTTTCTAAAATAATTCATTGTCCCAAGGAAAATAACTAAGCTACTAAAAATAAAATCTATAAATCCGTCTTTTAAATAATGTATTTAACAAATGTTTCACAATATATTAATTTACATGTTTTCTGATTTATCTGTGAAAGAAACGTGGAGAAAATACTTAGTTTTCCTTACAAATTTTGTTTGCTGTCTGCTGTTGTAATGATGTGATAATTTTTGCAGAAAAATGTCTTTTTTTTAACTTGAAATAAATAAAGAAAGAAGCTGACTTAATTTTTTATTCTATACAAATATATTAAATTACATTATTTAACGTATAATAATATTTTGCAATTTTTATAATATATATGCTTTTATTCGTAACTTACGCTATAAATTCAAGAGAATAAAATTTAAAATTATATATATATATAAAATTTTTGGATTTTTTAATTTTTCGATTTTTCGATTTTTCGATTTTCTTTTAATGAATAAATGAGAAGTTAATATTGTTTAACGCCGCACCGCTGTGCCGGTCGGAGTGTTAGGTTTCTTTTCGTTACGGACGTTACGGAATTTCTTGGTTTGGTCGCCGCGCTCAAAGCCCGCGATAAAAGCTATGCAATAGGTTAAAAATGCGCGAAACTAAAATAAATAACACAAATAGCCCATATATACACTTATTTATTTCAACCATTATTTGAAAATTAGGGTAAATAGGCCAGTTCATAACAGATTATGCGCGGTCAGTGTCACACGATAAATATTTAAACCATCAACTACCTGCGACCCTAAATAGCCAGGAAAGGATTAACTAAAATTCAAATTTATATCATAATATCAAAAATCGGAAGTGCTGTGGCATCCTTAATTAGAGAGGTCTACATATTCGTTATTTACTTACCTTAATAAACATTTATTTTCAAGTTAATAAATACAACACAATAGGTTTGTTCCAACTTGATACATAACCATTCCGTAACGGTACAGCGCATGCGTATTACACTCCAAGCGTTCCAACTTAATTTGTACGATGTGCGGGTTGATACAGAATTCGTTCCAACTAAAAAATGAATGATTCCAGAATCGTTTCTGTACCGTCATATCGATTCACAAATTTTTGTGGAACTGTTAGAACTGACTTGCGCAAAGCGATCGATATATGTTGATAGAGCCGATAGAGGTTAGTTTTAGTTAACTTAACCTACAAATATACAGCGTTTTTATGTTTTTATAGGTAGATAATAACAAAATATACATTTTTATTTAGAAAATACTATTTATAAATCATATTTGGAAAATGAGTGATATAGAAGGAGACAGTGATTTTTTTGATGATGATGATGCTAGTGACGATGATTTAGAATTAATGGTAAATTGAGAAATGATAATAAACAAAATTATTTGAACAGAATATATTCATTATTTACCAATATTTTCCATTGTGCTCTAGAATATAGAATGATACAATAAAAAATCAATAACATCCATAATTATAAAACAGAAAACTGGTTTATTTTTATTTTCTTTTCGAAAAGTTTGGTTAGAATTTTCTTCCTCTTCTGTCTTATCTATTTATGAACCATCAGCAGTTTTAAAAGCGTTCCAACTCATTTTCGATTCCAAAACCATTCAGAGATGGGCTTGCGCAGTACATTGTTCATAAACTGATGTTGGTATGATACAAGAACGGTACCAAACACCAAGTTGGAACAAACCTAATGTATATCTCAGTGAACCGGGCAATGTTAACACAAAAAAGTCATACAACACTTTAGTTTAACATAAAAATAAACTACTACAACTATCATTGCGTTCGGTCTGCGAAGTTCCTTTAACTCCTTTAACACTTTTTACCCAAACGACCCTTTTAGGGTTCGGTTTAGTCCGATTAGTGACAGTTTAACATGCTTAAATGCCATTTAAAAGCACCCTAAAAAACTCCGCTTTTGTCCCGCTCCAGCCCCTGACTATCCGAACTCGCCTTATATACCTGACTCACGCTACGACACTGATTTATTTAATTGAATTAATACCTAACTGGTTTATCAGCTTTCGAGGTTTCGGAGATTTGTTCTGAGAATTTACTCTGCATTATTAGATTCCTCATAACTCATCCATATTAACATTCATTTTTTTTTATTTCAGATACATAAAAGAAAGAATTGCAGTTCTAAAATTGAGACTAGATGATCCTAACTCAAAAGACACTACTAACAAGCAATTTATTAACATAGCAGAAGATTTGGTTGGATTTGAAAAAAAGTTCAGTTTCGCTAAAGAAGACAACTCTGATTACATCAACATTAACTACTTTTTACTTCCATTATATTCTACTGTTGTCAATCTGAAAGTGTTTTTTTACCAGTTTGGTATTATAAATCAAAGTAAAATCAAACTTACCAATGAAGATATTCACAATGTAAAGTCTTATCTATCAAGATTAATTGAGGAAAAAAGTGATGGTGCAGTAGCTTATATCAGCAATGTTTTTAATGATCAATTAAATTATGAATATGACCATTGCTATCCTGATGACATTTTTAACGATTTAGCTGTTGTACGTCAGTATTGTGCTATTAGTGGTACTGAATTTTTCGAATTCTGGCGAGGAATTATAAAAGATCCCTTCTCTACTAAAAGACCATATAACACAGTTATTTCCTACTCTACACACTTTTCCAGACCAACACCGTATCTTGCCAGACAAATTGTAGCAGATGAGATTCAAGCACCTTTACAGCCCAAATTAATCAATGGCAAACGAAATAGAATTACCAAAGTAGACGTATGGATTTTCAGAATAGAAGGAGGAACTCCGAAAATCAAAGGAATGAAGATTTTTTACGAAAACGGAGACACTTGCGACTTAGGAGGATGGTCTAACGAATCAAATTCTGTTGACTTTAAAGGAAGTTATTTAAAAAGTTTAACCGTTTGGGGTAAAGATGCTTTGGATATGTTGGAATTTGAATTTATGGATGGTAGAAAACAAACTTGTGGTAACAATTCTTACTCGTATGACCGACATCAAAGATTTGAATTGGAATATCATCACATTGCTGGAATATTAATCACCAATGATGCATTTTTCTTGGCAGGCCAAGCGTGTAGTATTGCAGTGTCTTATCAGCTGACACCTGACTCATAACCATAACTTATTTGATTTCAAACCGAATAAAATAAAATAAATTTGTTCCGCTTAAATTTCTTTTATTGTTTATTTTAAAGAAACTCAGAATTTCATGAGCTTTCAAATATTTTTAAGTTTTAATTAGAATGGAAACTTTGAGGTCTAATTCTATTATATACGAAGCCATCAGAATTCAAGATAATAATAAATCACGTTTGGATCATGTGGTATCGCAATAAATTGACTATAATGTCAAGTGTTATTGCTGTCAAGAGAAAGGTTGACAATCAAATTTTTGTTAATTGTATTACGGTAAAGCACATTGGCAGTCAAGAGTGGGGGGCGCAGGAAGTGCGGTGGTAGCGTACCGTCGGCTGCACTCTCCCGGGCATTTATTGTTAAATTTGTTTAAGTTTGGAAATAATTATTCAACAATACATACCACTGAGTTAAAAATAAAGCTATCTAGTGACCAATTCATTAAATAATAGTAGGGGCGCTACTGGGAAAATTTGTCAGGATGAACAAGCGCTCTTTCCAAATTACGATTAACTGTTAATTCTACCATTCGGAAAGTTAAGTACAGGTCAGGTTAATGTTATTTTCATGTTACCAGAAAGTCAAGTACAGGTCAGGTTAATTCACTGAGGAGTATCTCTGAACTTAACGATGTATTCATGTCACCAGAAAGTCAAGTACAGGTCAGGTTAATCCCTGAGGAGTACCTCTGAATTTCTCTACTGTTTTTATTTAGTAACAAAGTTAGGTAAGTTAAGTACAGGTCAATTAAATATCTGAGGAGTACCTCTGAACTTCCATTTAAAGCTTTTGCTTCTGTGAGTAAAAAAAAAGTTAAGTAGAGGTCAGTTAAATATTTGAGGAGGAGTACCCCTAAACTTTAATTTAAAGTTTTTTTTTTGTGATTAAAGAAATTAAGAATAGGTCAGCCAAATATCTGAGGAGTACCTCTGAACTTATTGCTTTGATTTTGTCTGCTTAGCACAAATTTAGTGAAATCTTTTGAAATATATAGTATAATTGTTAGCATCGTGCAAGCTTTATGTTTTATAAATATGGTCTGGTAAATGGTATAAGGAATCCGAGGATTCACAGTTACAGAAAAAAATCGGTAAGTTGTACTGTCCTGGATGGGCGGTGTTAGCAAGTAATTCTTTTGTTTTTCCTTTATGTTTTGTTGCCTAAATGATATATTAACTGCCCGAGGATTTAAAATTGAAAAATGCTGGACGGATATTGTTGAAATCCGAGGAGCATAGTTTTTATTTTGAAATTATTTTAAACATATTAATTGAAAAATGTCGGACGGATATTGTTGATATCCAAAGAGCAGATTGTGTTTTAAATTATTTTAAAATCTTGAATGGAGTGTTATAAATTATAAGACATGGGGTGTTGTGTCACTTATTTAAAAATGCAAGGTTTTGCCTCGTCTCAGAATGTGACAAGAAGATGAGTAGAAAACTTTTTTGAAATAATTGAAATGTGTTATCAGGTAAACAAATTTTTGTTAATTGTATTACGGTAAAGCACATTGGCAGTCAAGAGTGAGGGGTGCGGGAAGTGATTTATTTATTTATTTTTTATTTATTAAATACACTGCTCTACAGGCTAAATGCCTAGTTATAGAGCAGGAAAAAAAAATTGTAATTACAAAAGTAAATATAAATATAACATATTGCACAATAAGACATAATTTGGATATAACATAAATTACACAACATAACAAAAATTACACAATATAACAAAAATTACATAATATGACAAAAATTAAATAAATCAATGACTATACACAAGCAAATAGTACCGAAACAGTTTTACATTTTTTTGAGCTGCGAAAGCTTACAAGAAAATAAATCAATTCTACCTTGCAGGTTGTTGCAGTTTCCATACATAAAATACAATGGCGAGTTTTTTAATAAATTTGTCCGAAATAGCGGGTGATAAAACATTAAGTTGTTCCGAGATTCAATTTTTATCACTTTAAATACAAGTTGTTCTAATAACCCGGAACAATCAATTTGGTAGTTAATAAGTTTATAGAGAAATATTACCGACTGATTTTTTTGTCTACATTCTAAGCTTTGCATTTGAAATCTATTTAAAAGCAACGTGTGATTTATCCCAATTGGTGGATATGTTCCGTCTATCTTAAATGTCAAGAATTTTAGATATCGTCTTTGAACGTTTTCAAGAGCTCTTATGTGAATATCATAAAACGGTTTCCATATTATTGAAGCATATTCTAATTTTGATTTGACGAACGCATTGTACAACATATTCATGGTTTCGATAGAATTGAGGTCAACTGCATGCCTAATGATAAATCCCAAATTTCTGAATGATGCTTTTACCACGTCATTTAGATGTTCATTAAAAGTAAGTTTTCTATCGAACTTTACCCCAAGATCTATAACAAAATCAGGCCTATTTAATATAACACCATCTAAACAGTAGTTATAGATAATTGGAAAATCTTTTTTGGTATATGACACTATACTACATTTTTTTGAATTTAATGGAAGATTATTTATTAAACACCAATTATTTATTTTATTAATATTACTTTGTAATTTAAGACGATCATTTAAGATATCTACCTGATAAAAAATTTTGACATCGTCTGCATAAATTAAATATTTTACGTTAACGTCATTAATGATGTCATTTACGAATAGTATAAATAAAAGTGGTCCCAGAATCGAGCCTTGAGGTACGCCAGAGGTTACTAAGATATTGACAGACTCAAATCCACGCATTTCAACAAACTGGGTTCTGTTTGTCAAGTAAGATTGAAAAATATGTATGACAGGCTTGGACAATCCAAACTTGCTAAGCTTTTGAAGTAATATTTTATGATCGAGTTTGTCGAAAGCTTTAGAAAAATCTGTATATATTACGTCTAGTTGACCGCCGCCGTCAACTATTGTAGAACTGTATTGTGTAAATGAGAATAGATTTGTTATTGTTGACCTGTTCTTACAAAAACCATGTTGTTCGTCCACTATCTGATGTTTGACGTGTGGTACAGTTCATCAAATTTCTAGAGGTGTTCGACGCCCAGACAGAGAACGCGCTACGTGTGACTAAGATAGCTATTGTACAGTCTGCTAAACAAGTTATTTTAAATAGTTTTTAATATTTTTAGGTAATTAAATTTTAAAAGTGTGGAATAGTTTAGGGATTAAATTGGTCTGATTGGACTTTCTTAGAACGTTTTTAAAAGCAGCTAAAGATAGTATGTAGAATTGAAAATAATTATTATGCCATAAAAGGTGTTTTGGAATTCCTTCAACCTTTTGAAATTGAGTCAGAAAATATAAATTTTATAGGATAGCGGAAAATACCTATAATTTTTTTGTAGGCCTTTGTAAATCGTGGAAATAGTTTATATTTTATTTCTACCTTATTAAGGAAAATGGTACCTATTATTAATAACGGTTGTTTCTGAAACATTACTAAAATTTTCGAAATTTTGTTTTTCTACAAAACAATAAACTATACTATTTAGAAAAAAATTTATTTCTCTTATAATTTTATAAAAAATAACAGGGGAATATTTACATTTCTTGATTGAACAAAACGATAAATTATCTCGACGAATGACACCACGTTCTAGTACGGAAGCTAGCTTTACATTTTTGTTGGTGGTTTCATGGGTTTCATATCAATTTTTTGTAATTGTAGTTTACACGTACATATACCTCTTAACACTTGTTTGCTTTATTAAAAAAGTGTGTTGTTGTGATTTACGTCGAAATAAGTCAAAAACAACTTGAAACCCTATATAAAATCAAAAAGGAGAAACGGAAAAAAATTGAGCCTGTAAATGAACACAACTCAGAAACAAAAATAGCTATCTAATAATAAAAAAATAAAATTTGATTCTTGTGCAGCTTCATCTATATCATTAACTGTTTTTGGTTTTTTAATGGTTTTTCTTGGTGATGAAAATTCCGATATCTCACGGTTATCGATTCTTTTTTTCTCTCCAGAAATGCGGACGACAGTGTTTTTAGATACTCCTGTGGCTGCAGCAACACGATCATTTACATTTTTAAATGGTATTGAAGGTGAATTAAAGTTTCCTTCTCTTCTCATAAACTCTATAACATTGGCTATTTTTTCGCGAGATTGACTGTTAATCACGCGGCCTCTTAATTTGCTATTAAACTCCATACTTAGGTTCTATTAAACTTTAATGAGCAAAAAACACAAACGAAAATAAAAGAAATGTTTTAGCGAAATTTACATCTGACATTTACGTCTGAATGAAATAGTGAAATACTTGATGCGCAGAGTGTACTTTCATTGCGTAAATCCGTCGGGATGCCTGTCAGTAGTGCTTTCTCTGTCTAGCCGTCGAAAGCCTCTAGAAATTTGATGAACTGTATTATATTATCGTATAGTAAAATTTCAAAAACTGGCAAAATTACATATTATAGTGATGAGTCGATAGTTCTCGATACAATTTTTTGTCATATCTAAACTGTTAGATCCCACAGGTAGCTATTTGGACAGGTCGTTGGAATGCCTAATGCCTAAAGGCGTGTTCTTTTATTCAGCGCTGTATTCAGCGCTTGCTGCAAACCGTTCGTAAATTAAGCGATGAAAAGACGATTTAATGTGTCAATCGTTCTTTTTTCCAGCGGTGAGTTCACCAATTAGCCAACGCATCCATCTGCTTTAAAAGCCGATGGATATGTGATGGACGAATGGAGGGAATAATTAATTTGTTTGAACGTGTAAACACGATTATTTAGATATAAGTTAACCTACAATATAAGAGTTTAAATAAAAAACGTCTGTAGAAGAGATAAATTACTGTTAATTTAAATTAAAATGAGTTTTATTTTTAAAGCGATGTCAAAGTCAAATTTTTCATTTGAGAAATGTCGTTTGTTCTTATTTTCAGCGCAAATACTTTCCACCAGAAATTAATCAGTGACGTCATGACATCAAACACTGATGGAACAATTGTTGAATAAAAGAACATACCTTAATTTTCTTAAGTTCCAGACTAGAGATAAGGAAGCGAATCGGCATGCTCAAA